ACACATACTCACTCCACGCCCTCCCCGGGAAACACACCGCGGGCCAGAGCACCGCACGCGCACACGCGTGTTCACACGCGCGCGCGCACACACCCGGCAGCCTGCCCAGGACGGCACCCCGGGCAGAACCGCTACATTTATTAAACCGTGAGTGGAAAGTGTAATAGGCACTTCTACGCCCTTTATCTCATTACTCCGTGCCACAACCTTCTGGGTGTTCCCATTTCACAGACAGGTAAATTAAGGCCCAGGAAAAAAACCGAATTTATTACTCAGCTTGGCAAACTGAACCCAGTCTCTCCGCTGCCCTCTCCATCACCTGATGGCTTTCAACAATTGGAAGTGCCTCCAATACTTCAGAGGTGAACTGTCAAATGGCAATCCGTGTGTAACGTTTGTTTGTTTGTGTGTTTTTCTTGAATTCGATCTCTCAAAAATACTTAGCATTTCAGAAATGTCTTTCAGAAAGAATGCTGAGCTAAGCAACTTGTGAAAGGTGGCTTACAATTTGTTTCCAATACGGGGCAAGAGGAGAACAGAGAAGTCAAAGAAAGAGTGTGCAGCCCAGGAATAAAAGAGCACCCAGACCTGTGTTGAAGATGACAAGAGAACACAGCAGTCACTGTGGATACTTCGTGGACCCTGTTATGCTATCTCAGTGACTGATTTCAGCAGTACTGGCTCATTTATGCTCTTGTGTCTCTAAATCCCTTCAAGTGTTCCTCCCCAAATGTTAGTATTTGGAAGTAACAGGGGAACATAAAACACAAGAGGCTCACCCACATCACATAAGGCTGTCCCTCAAAACCCAGACATCATCCTGTGCACCAAGCACCATGCTGGTTACTTTAGGCATCTCCTCACTTATTCCTCATCACAAGCCACAGAGAGAGAAGAATGATTGTCACTGGGTTACAGCTTTGGATATTACCCTGACCTCTCTCCCTTACTGCTGTGCAAGACTGGGAAGGGGGTGCTTAAAAAGTTACCTAGGGCAGGTCTGTCTCAAGTATGGAGATCTAGCATAGCACTTGGCCCATGGCACATGCTCGGTGAATTTTAAGACAAGTGAGAGACAAACAAATGAATGATTCTGGGACCCATATGGGCAATAGGTTGCATTTCAGAAAGGCATCCAGGACTCACTTCCTCATCACAGAATTCTCCCAATTGATGTAAGATAAAATTAGGCCACCAAATGAGCCCTTCCCCAGGGAACATCAATGATGAAGTCTCGGATTTATTCTGGGTCCCTAAACAAAACACTGCCAAGGGCGTTCCCTGGATGCACCCCCAGGGATCACTGTAGGGTCCATTCTCTAATAGGGAAACCACCCAGTCCTTTAGGGGCTGCCTAGAGGCTGCATACAAGGATCCGGCCTCTGAGTTCTCTCATATACTTAACAAAAATTATCCCATGAGAGACATTTTCCTTGAATCCTCCTCATAGAAAGACTCATTTCCTGCTAATCATGCTCACTTAAAGACTTCTAAATGGAAAGACAGAAATAAACATACCCCAGAACATTAAAACAACAATCTTCCATGACCAAGTGGGGTTATTCCCAGGAATTATATTTTTTTAAAATATATTAAAAAGGGAAGTTAGGGTTCCGGATTAAGATGGTAATTGAATGTGTGCATCTAATTTCACTTCCTCCCAAAACGCCACTAAAATTTCAATGACGAGATTTTTAGATCAGGCAGTAAACCGATAAATGAAGAGAAAAGGGAAAATTTTTGAAGCAGAATGGCAGACAGTCACGTGGTTACTGACTTATCAGCCCCAAGGAAAAAGACATCTCAACTGGCAGTAGGGAAAATTGAGAGCCAAACTGGTCTACATTACAAGGAACTCAAAAGGCATAGAAATTGGGAATCTAAGGTACCTCTGGATTCCCGGAGGTGAAAGGTGGAAGAGGTTGCTAAGATAAGGACCATAGTGACAAGGGGTTAGACCCCTCCATATCTCTCTCCCTCTCTCTCTCTCTCTCTCTCTCTCTCTCTCCCCCCCCCCCCAAGCCACTAGGCAACAGTCCCTCCCCTATCCTAGCCAGAGTCTGGGGGACTTTCCTCTGAAGAAGGTAAAGCAGAGTGTATCTGGATTGGAGAAGCTTCAGGCACAGTTGTGAATGGAGATACCATGCTGAAAATACTGAAAACAAGGGGATTACATGACCATGTCATATGGAATACTAAATGCAGAGATGCTGAGCTTTCTGCCACCATCAGACTCCCCAGGTGCTGGGAGCAGGACTTATGCAGGACACTGGAAGATACTGCTCTGGGGTATTTCACCAGCCCAAGAAGAAGGACCTAAAGATATTGATGTACGAAACAGCCCAGCTAGACTCAGTGGCAAACCCAGCCTCCAAGCTCTAGGTTTCTGACTAGCCTCTCCCACTCCTACAGCCTTAATCATGGCCAAGGATTACCAGAAATCCAGGAAATTTTCCAGTGAAGAAGAGAGCAACAAAACAAACAACCAGAAAAAGTAACTTGGAGGAAACAGGTTAGAAGAAAGTGTCAAAAAGACCATGGTTAATATCTTTAGAGAGATAAGAGAAGATACTGTATCCATGAAACAAGAACAAGATGCTATACAAAGTAACATCCAGAGAATACCAACAGCAACAATTATGTCTTGAAAAATAAAATCATGACAGCAAAAACAAAAACATCAATAGAAAGATAAGCAGATAAGGTTGATTAAATCTTCCTAGAAAGTAAAGCAAATATATAAAGAGAGAGAAAATACAGGAAAAAAATTAGAACATTTAAGAACAATTTCAGGAGTTAATGTTGAAATAATAAGAGTTCTGAAAAGAAGAAAAACAGAAAAATGAAAAGGAGGAAATCATCAGTGAACTAATCTGAAGAAATTTTCTAGAACAAAAGGATATGAGTTATGAGTTGCCAGTTCGTAAGGGTGGGGTGGATTAGAAGAAACCCACATTCAGGCAAATTAAAGAGAAGGGTCTAGCATAGAAAACAAACATACGGTTACCAGGGGGCAAAGGGAGTAGGAAGGGATAAATTGGGAATTCAAAAATTACATCTCTTGGGAAGTGAAGGAAATGTTAGCTATCTTGATTGTGGTAGTGGTTTCATTGGTGTATATACATCTATCAAAATGCATCAAATTGTACATCTGAAATATGTGTAGTTTATTGTACAGGAACCATACCACAATAAATGTGTTTAAAAAATAAATAAAATAAAAAGAGAAGGGCCTAGAAACTTCCAGAAAGAAAAAAAGGTAATGTACAAATGATTAGATATCAGAAAATCTTTGGATTTCTAAATAGGATCACTAGAAGTTAAAAGCAAGGCTTCCAAAATTCTGAAGAAACTTTTCTTTCAATCTTGAATTTGTATCCATTCAAGGTATCAATCAGGTAAAAAGAGAATATATAGACTTTCAGACATAGAAGATTCCAAAAAGTTTATCTTTCATGTCCATTTTCTGGAAAAGCTACTAGAAAAAGTGCTCCCCCAAAACCAGAAAGTAAAAGCAAGAAAGCAGAAAATGTGGGATACTGGACACAGGAGATCCACCATGGGTGAGAGACAAAGGGGGCTCCTTGGAAGATGACGAAGGGGGATCCCAGGGTGTCAGCTGTGCACCACATGTAGAGGGACACAGGTTCTGATTGGAGAAGTGTGACTGACTCAGGCGATGACACGTTGACAGCTGTCATCACCAAGATCCTTGATGCCAGTGTACCATCTTCGGAACCTCAAGTCAGAATGTTTGAGTGAGCCTGCCCCACTTCTTATTTGTTTTTTTTAAATGTATTTTTATTGAAGTACAGTCAGTTTACAATGTGGTGTCAATTTCTGGTGTACAGCACAATACTTCAGTCACATAAGAACATACATACATTCGTTCTCATATTCTTCACCATAGGTTACTAGATATTGAATATGGGTCCCTGTGCTATACAGTATAAACTTGTTGTTTATCTGATTTTGTGAGAATCCTCCAGTATTTTGAAATGAGAGACATTCTGCCAGAGTTTAGTAGGTGTTCTGTGTGATTCAGTGGGTTTGTAGATGTAATTCTTGGTGTATTTGTGGGAGAGGATGAGCTGTGAGTCTCTTTATGCCCCCATCGTGACTCCACCCCTGCCCCACTTCTTATTTGTACTTGCCTTGTCTTGGCCAAGTGCAGTGAGGCTACTGTTCACCCTTCCATGCCTGCTGCCTGCCATGGAAGTGTCCCACTATGACCTGCTCCTGAGAGGGGATGGGAGTGAGCTCAGAAGCAGCCCACTGCCACTGACCATATTCCATCCACATGTCCAAGGTCTGGGTGACACTACAGCTCCCACTACATGAGCTCTGTGCTTCCCAGGACTCCCTCATGACCTTGCTCACTGTTGGTCCCAGAAAAGGTT